CTGCGCTGGAGAGCCTGGACTCTGCTCTTAAACGAGGCTAGATGGTAGCGTCTAAGGTGTTGAGCAAGTTACAAGTTGAGCAAGGTTTGTCCTGGCTCGACACCACTGTCCGGAGGTCACGGGTTCCTGTCCAGCTGTGCCGTTGGCCAACTGTGTGCTTAAAGTTGAGTTGTAAGCTGTAAAATGTACCTCTGCCAGCGTGGGAGTTAGGCGAGTGGGTATGGGATAATGAGACAGTTAGTAACCAGGTGTCCCTGAATGTGGGTCGGGTCTCTGACCTCCTGACCCCTGACCTCTGACCCTGCAGATTCACACTAATCTGTGCTTTTCCTCTCCTCCTCCTCTCGAGCTGAGGTCCTCTAAGCGTCTTGGCTCTTCTAATGTTGGGGTGGGTGGGGTGCCAAGGAAGGGGTCATGAGTAGATCCGGCAATAATCTATAATGAGGTGCCCAGGAAGAAAGATCAAAGGTCGATCTGATTCTCATCAGGAGCCTCCCCCTTTTGTCTGTATCTGGGTCACAGGACACAGACATTGGGGATCCCCCTCCACCCCCAGCAAGCACACTGGAGCAGCTGTGGTTTTGGGGTTTCAGGGGTTTTGTGCTTCCTGTAAAGACTGCCTGCCTCTGAGTCTCTCTGAATCACCAACTGCCTCAGGAAGGAAAGCAGCTATTTACATGTGTGTGAGATTGTATCCTGTGTGTGAGAGATTGTGTAATTGTGCCCTGTGTGAGTTTATAATAGTACTCTATGTGTGAGATACAACCCTGTGTGTGAGATTCTGCCCTGTATGTGTGAGATTGTGTGATTGTGTCCTGTGTGCGTGTATATTAGTACTCTGTGTGTGTGAGATACAACCCTGTGAGTGTGTGATTCTACCCTGTGTGTGTGAGATTGTGCCCTGTGTGTGAGATTGTGTGATTGTGTCTTGTGAGTGTGCATGTGTAATAGTACCCTGTGTGTGTAAGAGATTGTGCCCTGTGAGTGTGTGTAAGATTGTGTTCTGTGAGTGAGGGATTTAGCCCTGTATGTGTGTGCATGTGTAATAGTATTCTGTGTGTGTGACAGTACCCTGTGCGTGCTTGTGTTACTGTGCCCTGTGTGTGTGCGATTGTATTCTAACCTGTGTGTGTGCATATATGTGCAAGTGTGTGTGCATGCCCACATGTGTGCGAGTGTTAAGTGTGAAGAGGGGAGATGGAACAAAAAAAAACCTAATGAAAAAACACACACACTGGAACAGGAAACACAGTGTCACAGTATCCAGACTCATTTTACTGTAGTTTGATTAAAAACAAAATCAGAAGCAGAAGCTGCAGGGAAAGAGAGTGCCAGCAGAGGGTGCTGACCCCAGGACTCAGCAGAACTATCAGACTCCACTGTTCTCCTGCACCCAGGTCCTGTAGCTGGAGACCCGGGTGTAGACCCCAGGGAAGTTGGGCCGAGCGCAACCTCTTCCAAAGCTCACAATCCCAGCCAAGACCCACTCGTCCTCCTTCTTACAGGCCAGAGGACCTCCAGAGTCTCCCTGTAGAGGGAGAATCAGTTAATACATTACTCCTTCTCTTTAAACTCTTTAAAGTTAGACAGTAACTGGCTCAGTTCAGTCCCTGAGAGCCCCAGTCCTTCAGTGCTCTAGTGTCTTCAGTCAGGGGTTAAAGGTCACTGTGAATCTGGACTCATGAAGACAGTAACTGGCTCAGTTCAGCCCTGAGAGCCCCAGTCCTTCAGTGCTCTAGTGTCTTCAGTCAGGGGTTAAAGGTCA